GGTGGAAGGCTCTCGCTCCCCCACCCTGTGTCCCAGCAGGTAGGAGGGAAAGCAGGGACAGGGACTGCGAGGCAGGAGGCAAGCACAGGCGGATCCGGTTACAGGCAGCACGGGGCAGAGAGATAGGCAGAGAACAGCAATGCAGCAAAAAGGGCTTTTAGTGATAATAAATAATTAACATTTCTAATGATGTCCCGGCGACAGGAAGAGTCCAAGCGGGGACCCGGGGGCACTGTGCACGGTGACAGGAGAGGCTGGGGACCGTGCGGGGTCCAGGGAGGCTGTGCAGAGACAGGGGCTGGGCTGTGAGAGAGCTGCAGGGCTGGGGGTCCCAGGGCAGGGGCTGGGCACCCCTGGAGACCCCTGGGTGAGCAGTGCCTGGGATCCAGCATTCACACCCTGCTGCTGCCAAGGATGTGGGAAACCTGTGAGGAAGAGGACTGGATTAAACTGGAAGGAGACTAGATTAAACAAATTTGGGGGTTAACCTGACTTTGGTGATGGTAATTCCTTCCCAGGGTTTGCCGTGCCCAGCGAGCACCTGAGAGGGACTCCTGCTGGCAGCAGGAGGGGACTGGGGAAGGGTGCTGGGGGAAAAAGCTCACAGGGAGCCGCTGGGATGGGTGACAGGCGCCAGGTCACTGCCAGCCGCAGCACAAAGAGACCCCATGCTGAAAGGTGTCCAGGGGACACGGGAGCAGTGTGATCTGGAGTGCAGAGAGAGAGGAGGTCTGTGGGCAAGACGGGAGATCAGACACTGTGGGACAATGGCAGGGAGGGCACAGCATGAAGTAAGGAGCTATCTGAGCATGGGAGTCCATCACTGTGAGCCACCACACAATGGGCACGCAGACATGGGAGAGGTAAAGCAATCCTAGGAGGAACCAGGAAGGCATTTCTGGCAGGACTGGGCACTTGCTTTCATGCCTGCCTGGGCCCCAAGGGACCTGCCTGTGCTGGAATCAGCCTGGAAGAGGAGCAGAGGTATCGTGGGGCTGCCAGGGAGGCAGAGCCCAGGACACCCGTGAAGGGAGGACAGCGACTCGTGCCCAGCACAGCGCAGGCTGTGGGGAAACGGAGTGCTCACTATAAATACATCAGCAGGGTAAACGCCAGGGAGGAGGAGAGCTATTTCAGCTAAAAGACAACATTAGCACAGGAACAACTGGGGATAAATTATCCATGAATACATTTACAGTGGAAATTAGACCCTCGGAGCAGGGATGTCCCAGCACAGCCCCTCCAGAGAAAAAAGCAGTGCCAGGCGAGAGCCAGATTGGCTGGGCAGCCAAGGAATCCGCAGCGTGTTGTGGTGGCAGTGTGAGCCCTCTCCTTGTGTCAAAAAGCAGCAGGGGTATATGATGGGATGTTTGCACATCACTGCATGCACGTGTGAGTGCAAGTGTGTGTGTGCATGGTCTGCACGCACATTTGGGTGGCACACTGAGTGCTCACACAGGCAGAGGGGGTGGCTGCTCACAGACAGTTGTGTGTGTGCTTGTAAGTGCTTGCGAGTGTGCTGGCAGTGTGTGTGTGTGTGTGTGTGTGTGCTGTGCACCCACCAGGCTGTGTGCAGGTGTCTGGCCCTCATAATGCTCTAGAAAGGGGAATGATGGCTCCAGTGAAGTATCCTGGAGGTTAGTGCCTTCAGTCAGCATTCCTGTGCTCACCTGCACCCTGTTTGTATTGCACCTCTGAAATTTGCTGGAGGACATTTGCTGGATGAGTGCTCTATGAATCCAGCTGATCCTGGGTGGATTCCTGTCTCTGATCCTAGGTGGATTCCTATCCTGCTCCCAGAGCAGTACTATCCCTGCAAGAGCCACGGGGGTCATCTGGCACTGCCACCACACAGGCTTACTCTGCTTGGCAGTGCCCTGTGCCACATTGCACTGCAATGCAAGCATGGAGCAGGCTGCTTCCCACCTTCCTGCTGCCTTCTCCCCAGGGAGAGCCTGGGGTGGCAGATGAGCCACCAGGCAGAGGGTCACCAAGCATCAGGGCTGCTGGCTTTAAGACGGTTCCCATTCCCTGGGAGCTGGGTTGGCATGGATGGGGCCCCAGGAGCAAGGGCCAGGGGAAACTGGGACATATTAGTCCTGGGGATGGGAAAGGGAGGCCCCAGATGTACAAAGAGGTGGCTGGTACTCATGCTGGCCCCAGCTCAGTAGAAGAGCCTTCCCCCTCCTTCACACAGCCCTCAGTGGAGCGCAGCATCTCCCTTCCCCCCGCAGCGTGTCTGGCTGCTGCTCACTCTAATTTCCTGTGCATTGTCCCCATCACCGTGCCACCATTCCCTGCACATCCCACCCCCTCTGTGCACCACACTGCCAGGCTCCCTGTGCCCCAACGCCTGCGCCCTACCTCACTGCTCTGCAAACGTCCCTGCCACTGTTCTCATGCATCCCAGCTCCTTCCACTGATGCTCTGTGCTTCCCTCTGCAGCCTCTTGCAGAGAGCTCTGTCACACCCCAAGGTGCCTGCCCCATTATGTCCCCAGTGTGGTTGCATCCAGAGGGGTGGGATGGAGACATCTAGGCCAGCACAGGGCCCAGGGACTGGTGCAAGGATGTTTCTTATGGCCGTGGCTGTTGTTTGCACCAAGGCATCTGCTGGCTGCAAAGAAATATCCTGGCAAGGTGGCAGCATCCATGGGAAGGGCACTGCTCCAAAAGCAGCTATTGAGGAACACCCTGCAGCCCCAGGAGTGGAAAACCACCCCACTGGGTGCCAGCAGCAGTGCCTGGGGGCTGCAGCATGCAAGGTGCTCTCAGCTCGTGTGTCCTGCTGGCACTCAGCACGTGTGTGCTACGGGGAGCTGTGGGGTGAGCACACCCCAGGGACACGGCGTGTGCACCTGCGGGGCTGCACATGTGCATGCATGGCACCACGTGCCCAGCCATGCCCTGTGCCATGCACACACCGATGCACACGCACGGCTGCACGGCTGCACGGCTGCATGGCTGCATGTGCGCTGCGCTGGCACACCGGCAGCCCTGCCTGTGTGTGCATGTGCTCGTGGCCAGCGCCAAGCCCCACTGTGCTGCCATGCTGGGTTTAGAACCCCAGGGAGCTGCTGTGCCCGGTGCCATTCACGGTCCTGGCATGCTCGAGCTGGCTGCCTGCTGGCATGTGTGTTTGCTGTACCTGCCAGTCACGGGGAGGGCAGTGGGAGCCAGCTTTGCAGTTTGTACAAATAATTACCCGGGTGTTACCAAAGCTAGGATGAGCGAGCAGCTCGGCAGCAGGAGTGCTCACCCTGAGCGCACACACACTCATGCAAGGTTGCAGCCGGGCGTGGGGCTGTGGACACTGGCGGGCAGAGCACACCCACAGCACTGGGGTGCACGGGGGCACACAAGCACGGCATTGCACCTGTGTGGTGCTCACACTGACATCCCAGTCTGGTGGGTTTGCTTGGCATCATGGCTCAGCATGGCAAATGCAGAGAGCTGGTGTGGTTCCTGCCCCATGGCAGTGCCCTGTAGCAGGCTCCCTGTGCCTGGTTGCCAACATTCTGTCTGTGAGGACCCTGCAGCAGGCAGCCACGCAGCAAGCCTGGTGCTCAGCCAGGCACCCTGCAAGAGGGAGTCGTCAGCAATGAAATAAAGGGGTATTTGATGGCTGTATGGAAGCACCTTTGTGGGAAACAATCACTGTGACTGGAGAGCTCTCAAATCTAGCAGGGAGAGAAGAACGAGGAGCAACAGGCAGAAGCTGTAGCCAGACATGTTCAATGAGAAATAAGAGCTTTACCAGAGGAGGTGATTAGCCACTTGAAGCAGCCAGAGTGGCATGAGTTCCTGCTGTCTTCCAACATGTCTCTGCTGCTGTCTCTCATAGTGCCCACAGCCCCAGACTCTGTGCTGGGGCACCAGTGAGTGTGCCACACTAGGGTGACCTGGCAGCCATGTGCCCTGTCAGTGCTGTCCCAGTCCCTGCCACAGCCACTTTGTGCTTCCAGAGACACACAGAGAGCTCTGTGCCCAGCCCCTCAGGAAAACAGGTTGGCAAAGGCAGGCTTGCATAAATGCCATCCTGCCTGGGGCATCCACTGGCTACAAGATCTTGGGCAAGTCAGTGCCTTGCGTGACCTAAGATGGGGCCTTTCTTAGAGTTCAGGCTGGCTGCCATGGCACAGCCACTCCTGGGGCCCCTGCAGAGAGAGATGGTGATGTGCAGGGTGATGACACAGGCAGGTGCTGACCCCTCGGGGTGTGGCTGAGCGCTGGATTCGTAGAACAATAGAATGGTTTGGGATGGAAGGGACCTTAAAGATCATCTAGTTCCAATCCCCCTGCCATGGACAGGGATGCTGCCTACTAGATCAGATCACCCAGGGCTCCATCCAGCCTGGCCTTGAAGGCTTCGAAGGATGGGGCACCTAAAACTTCTCTGAGCAACCTGTTCCTGTGTCTCACCATTGTCACTGTGAATAATTTCCTTCTGACATCTTATTTAGATCTCCCCTCTTTTAGTTTAAACTGTTCTCCCTTGCCCTTCCAAGAAAACAGTGTTGCACCAAGGGCGTGCCCAGCTCCGCTCTCTTTCCTCCTCCTGTGCCCGACCTCCGCCGCCCCCAGTGCAGGCCAGGCCCCTGGCTTTGCTCGGTTCATCACGCCAGCGGCCCTTGCAGGAGCTGGGGAGCCGTGCCCAGCCATGGCCCGACTGCTCCCCATCCAGCACCCCGGAGTGACCGCAGCGAGCCGGGACACGCTGCCCGCCGTGGCCACGCAGCTCTCTGGGCCGTGACTCCGGCATGGCGGGACGCCCCTCTCCTCCCGGTGCCCGGGGCGATGCTCCCCGTGCCCCCCCGCAGCACCGCGGGGCCGGACCTGGCTGCGGGCGGCCCCACCCCGCGCTCCCCATTGGCAGCGGCGCCCCCGCCCCGCTCGCCGCCGCCGCCGCCGCCCGTTCTTAAGGCGCCGCGCGGGCGGGCCGGGCCCGTCGGGAGCCGGGAGCGGAGCACCGGAGGCGGAGGCGCGGCGGGCGGCGAGGCGGCGGTGCGGGATGCGCTCCCGCCGCCGTGGGGGCGCCGGGCGGCCCCCCTGGCCCGTGAGTAGCCGTGTGGTTTTGCTGCTCCGCGAAGTTTCCCGGGGACTCCGGGGCGGGGAGGGGCGTCTGTCAACTCCGGCACGGTCACCGGCCCGGGGAGAAGTTGGTGGAGGGCGGAGCGGGACCGCGGGCACGTAGCCTGTCCCCGTGGCGTGGTGGGGATGCGGGGTAGTGAGCCGGGAGGGAGCGGGAAGAAGGATGGGATGGGGATGGAAGGATGCTGGGCTGGGGAGGACCGTGCTCAAGAGGCTGTACGGTGATGGGCGGTGTGTGCTGGGACTGGAGAGCGCTGGCAGGAGCAGCAGGACTGTGAGCAGCGAGGGACAGCCCCTCTTTATAGCGGCACTTGTGCTTGGTCGTGGCCGAGCCCATGGAGGAGCGGGGGGAGTGGGCAGAGGGGTCCAGCCATGTACCTGCCTGCGTGGGAAGGAGGTGGCTGTGTGCTGGTGGGCCTGAGCCCCCCAAGGAGCTGGTGTCCCTCTGGGGCGAGCTCAGAGGCTAAGGTGACTGCTCATCTCCACACTGCATTGGCTGCTGCTGGCTGAGCCCCAGCCTGCCAGGTCCAGCACTGAGGAGTCCTGCATAGGAGGGACAGGCTCGCAGCAGCGAGCAGACGTCGCAGCAGGACCCAGGCTCATGGGCTTTGGCTGGAGCAGAGGCACTGCAGGGTCTGGGCTGCTGGGCATTGAGGAGCTGTGGAGGGGCACTGCTGGTACTCTGGGCAGCCCAGCTGCTGTGGAAGAGGGGACTGCTGGGTCTGTGGGACGTCTCCTGCCTGTCCTCTGCCCTGTCCCTGTACAGCTGTGGCAGCCTGGCAATGCTAGCAATGAGAATATGATGTTACTGGGGCACGTGCAGCATGGTGGCATGAGGTGCTGGGATGTCACATGTTGTCACTGCTTTGGGGTGCATTTGGGGTGCAGTGATGCCCTTGCTGCATGATGTCAAGAAATGTCATGGAGCTGACTGTGGCCCACAGCGGGACGTTGCTGCAGTGGTGGAGCGTGACATCACTGGGGTGCGTGGTGAGCAGGGCAGCAATGTCACGGTGACATGCGGGGTGGGATGGCCACACAGGGACCTCACACCCCCCTTCCCCATGATGTAGACTAGGGGACATCCAGGTGTGTACAGTGAGGACATCTGGGGACAGCATCTCCCCACTTGTGGTGAGAGGTCTGGGGCCCAATCACCTGCCTGTCCCAGGGTCCCCTTGCCACCCTCCTCACTGGGCACTACCAGCCATAGCAATGCATGGGCTCAGATGAATCCTACATGCTGCATCTCTGCCCTGGGGCCAGCATGCTCCCCCTGGGCTGCCTGGCTGCACCCTGCATGGGTGCCTTGGCACCCTCCCAGTGGCTCTGCCCTGCTTGGCACCTTGGCTTCATGTCACTAGCCATACTGCAGAAACCCCTGGGGTGACCTTGCCACCAGATGCCACAACACAAGCCCAGACGTGACTCTGCTGGAGCAAGATAGACTGAGGTCTGCCCTGAATACAGGCAGGGCCCCATGGCCTCAAACCCCAGGTGAAGCTTCATGCTGGAACTGTAGTTCTGTCAAAAGCATGCTGGGAATGATGAGGCCCTTCTGCATCTGACGTGCAGAGCCCAAGTCTGCCTCCCTTCCCCTTCCCAAAATGGCCTGGCTCTGGGCTGGACATCCCTTTCCCATGGCACCAAGCACCGGATCCACTGGGAAAAGCCTTTTGTCTCCAATCAAGAGCATTGTTTCATACTGGAAAAGCTCCATCCAGCTTGGAGGGATTTCAGCTGCAGCTGGATGAGGCAGGGGGGGCATGTGGTAGCAGTCCAGGCTCTGGGGAGTGGGAGCTGGAGTGGGCAAAGACAGAGAGCCCTGCCAATGGGCTGGGGACAGCCACCCATCGTCTGGCTGTGGCTGGGAGTGAGGCAGCACTGCTCTGCAGGGCCAGGGGCTTATGTGGCAGCCCTGCACCCATCTGTCCACAATGTCAGTGGCTCTCCCCCGTGCTCGTTTTGGTAAGCCTGGAGTGGGGCTGTGGCAAAGGCTCCCCCTACTTCACTGTCTGGCACTGCAGAGTGACACCCAGGGACTTTCCCATCCCTGAACAACCCTATGAGCCCTGTTCCCATCACCTGTGTCTTGAATGGACCCCTGCACCAGGGAAGGATCCAGGCTCCTGCCCCTCAAGAGCTGCTGCAGACAGCATGGCAGGGTAATGGACCATTACAGGAAGAGAATGGGAGCATACCTCTCCTGAGGATAGAGCTGGGGACACACACACATCTACACTGGAAACTGTGCCCAGGCTACAGATGGAGTTGGAGAGGAAAGGGGAGTAGGCTGGTGCAATGCAATACAGAGCTATGGATGTTGTGGCCAGTAGGGTTAAGGTTTACTCTGCAGCTGGAGAACAGGCCCTTCCTGCCCAGCCATGTAGGCCTGGAAGCTCGTTATGGCATGGGAACCATGGCCCCCAAGAGAGCCTTGGGACCATTCCCATCCCCAGAAGAGGCAGCAGCAGGCTGTTCTCCACTATCTGTTGGGTCTGCTCGGGTCTCAATCTTGAGCACCTTCCCCTCTCCAATCTGGGCATGTGGTACCACCCAGCTGCCACCACTTCCTGGGCTTGCTGAGTCCAACAGCGTGGGGGTCAGCTGGCAGGGGGTCATTCACTCCTGGACAGGGGGACTGTTCCTGGCTGGGGAGGGCAGTCCTGCCCAGGCACAGTCACATGCAGCATTGTCCCCTTGCAGGCCAGGTGCCCCAACCACCCCTCTGGTTTGCAAGAGTGGACCAGGCTGCTTTTTCTCCCAGCTGGAGTGGAGATATGTGGGATCATGCCCACAGCCTGGGGACACACAGCTCATCTCTGGGCTCTTCCCCTCTGGACGTGACTGCCAGGCCTGGGATGAGGGGTTGTCCTCCTAAGTGCCACCTTGCTCATCACCTGTGCTACAGCCAGGTCAGAGCCAGCTCCAAAATCTCTGCAGCCTTGCCAGCAGTGCTGGCAGAAGCTGTCCTCCGCAGTCCAGGTTAAATGAGCCTCTCGTCCCAGTCTCCTGTTCCTCCCAGCATCTTCTCATGGCTGCATCCCTGTGCAGAAGCTTTCCCTGGCCAGGCTGGAGGGAGCTCACCCTGCAGAGACCCTGGGAGGAACATTTCCAGCAGGATGAGGAAACTGAGGCATGTGGGAGTAACCTGAAAAAGTATCCCTGTGTTCTCCCTGTGAACTTCCCCAGCTCTGGAAGACCAATGGGACAGAAGACAAACTCCTTGGGCCAGTGAATGTCTTTTTCCTCTGACCCTGTCTAGGGAGCAGTGATTGACATTTTGATTTACCAGGACCTTGAAAGCCGGTGGCACCTTAGGACAGAGTGAGCTGGGCCTGAGCCTGGCTTTGTCAGCACCCCAGAGCCCTCCTGCTGCCTCTCCAGTCCCTCTAGTAGGATGGGCTGCCAAGGCTGGGCTGCTGCTCAGCCCCAGCTCACTGGAGTATGATCTTGTCCCAAGGGTGAACAGTGCCAGGACACCAGAGTGACAGTGTGACAGTGCCCAAGGGTCCAGAGACAGGCGGTGTGGTGCAGGCTGGGGTGCTGTGGCAAGGGGTGAAAAGAGAGCATCTCCCATGCAAGGACAGTGGGCTGCTTGGGCACGGTGGAGCAGCGTGTCTCCTGAGCTGATGGGCTGTAGGTCTCTCCCAGGTGTCCAGGATGCTGGCACTGTGCCTGCTGTCCCTGGCCTGGCTCAGCGAGGGCTCCCAGCGCAGCGAGCCCATGTTTGCAGCCGTCACCCACCGCCTCCTCCCGCCCGACTATGACAGCAATCCCACCCAGCTCAACTACGGCGTGGCTGTCACCGACCTGGATGCTGACGGTGACTTCGAGATCGTGGTGGCAGGGTGAGTGGTGCACCCCTAATGCCTCAGTGACAGCAGGGACAGGAATTCCACTCTCCTCTGTGGTCTTGTGGCCAGCTGGGGGGGTTGTGCACACCGGTGGGTGGGTTGAGGTCTGCAGGCACCCACCAGTGAATTTGTGTGTGTGTGTGCACCCACAGAAGGTGTTGATGCCAGGCTGAGTGCCTGTGTAGGACCACATGAGTGCCCCCATTGGTCCCTTCTCTGTGGGGCGGTGGCAGCTGCCCAGCAGCCAGGGTCCACCCTGCAGTGCACAGCCAGCGTGTCCCCAGGCCGTCTCTGCTCTGCTGACAGGACTCAGCTCTCTCTGGAGATTCAGTTAATTGGCTGGAGGTTTTTTATAGTCCTTTATTGGAGTGATGGCTGGGAAGGGCCGGCAGGAGCCGGGGAAGCAGGGAGCCGTGTGCTGTGCTGCCAGTGCCCAAGTGGGGCTGGACAGAGAGCAGCTGCTGCCAGCAGGTCCAATCTTGGTCAGGAAGAGCAGAGACCATGGTGTAAGCTTCTGTGTGTGTGCTGGCACTGCTGTGAGCTGCTACTGCAGGATATCTGTGTACACACCACCATCCTCACTCCCTAAAGAGGCTTGCACACACAGGTGTGCCCACCTGGAGAGTGTGCCCACCTTTACCCTCACAGATCCCATCCAGCTAGATGGAGGCACTATGGTGGCAGGCAGTCAGTCTGGCCCTTATGCTGCTCTGAACATCACTGAGGCAGGAAAACATGGGCAGCATTGGGAACCCTGGAGGGGTCTGGGCCACCACTCCCAGCTGTGCTGAGTCAAGAAGGCAGTTGGAGTTTTGTAAGCAGTCGTGGTGGCCGTTGTATAACTTGTTTACTGGTGCGTTGGGCGGGAGTGGGCGAGGAGCCAGTGGGATGCTCCGTGCTGAGAGGATTTGCTTCGTGTGACGGTTTCCTTGCCCTGGGAAAGCTCTGCAAGCAGGGACCTGCGCCCATCCTGTACTGCTATCTGCCTGACCCCCAGTGGTGCTGCCAGACATGGGATGCCTGGCAGGGTCCTTGGCCTCCATGGACCATGCAGGTCTCTGCAGTGCCCATCATGGGGAAAATCCAGTATCACACCCAGTGTCCCCCCAGGGGTGAGACAGGGGCTTTTATCCCATCCTCAGTCCTCGCGAAGCCAATACCCCTGCTTACGCTCACAGGTACAACGGCCCCAACCTGGTGCTCAAGTACGACAAGGCGCAGGGGCGGCTGGTGAACGTGGCAGAGGATGAGCGGGGCTCCCCGTACTACGCCCTGCGGGACCGGCAGGGCAACGCCATCGGCGTGACAGCCTGTGACATCGACGGCGACGGCCGCGAGGAGATCTACTTCCTCAACACCAACAATGCCTTTTCTGGTGAGCCTTGCTGGCAGCCGGGCCCCAGGCACGGGGGGAGCCCCGGCGTGGCTGCCCGTGACCTTCGGCGTGTGAGGGATGTGTGCGGGCTGGAGTTAATTTCTCACTTGAGTGGCTCCATTGATTGATGGCAGCACGGGTGGGACACTGAGCCCAGCCAGCCACCGAGTCAGCACTTCCAGCTGCCCATCGCCCTTTTTGTGGCACCCCAAGTGGGACAGAAGATTCCCTTCTGCCCCCTCGACTGTCCTGCCACAGGACTGTAAATCCCAGCTGTGCCCTGCAGCAGTTGTCCCCTTTGATCTCATGGCTCTCCTGTGCCTGCTGTACCAAGTCAAGTCCAGTGCTGTCCCTGCTCCTGGCATGCCTTTCATGGGAACAAGACTTACATACTCCAAGCTGGCACCCCAGGCCTGCCTGGTTTGGTGCTCCAGCCCAGCTCTGCCCTGTGTCCCTGACCTCCAGGCAGCAGATCTGTCTTCCCAGTGCTCCTAATTACCTGGGCTGGCAGTGGCTGCTGGCACACCTGTCCCTAAATCAGGATCTGCCATTGCTGCTGTCACAAATGGTGTAGCTCGCTGACTGTGCCTGCCACTGAATCGATTTCTTTTTTAATTTTTTTTTTTTTTTTTTGCTTTCCTGAGGATGATCTACAGGGCTGTGCCTCATTGGGACATATTTTAGCTTAATGAGTTGATTCTTCTGTGTGTCTCCCCGTGGCCCTTAAGGGTCATGGGGCTCTTGCAGCAGCAGCAGCCCAGCCCTATGGCACTGTAGGGGGCTGCAGGAACAGCAGATATTTGGGGTGTTCTGGAAAAAGAGTACCTTTTCCACAACCTGCCTTGCTACAAAGCACCCTCCTCAGGAGGAGGCGGTGTGCTGGAGCCCACTGACCTGTGCCCCCTTCCCCAGGCATGGCGACCTACACAGACAAACTGTTCAAGCTCCGCAACGGGCGCTGGGAGGACATCCTGAGTGACGAGGTGAACCGGGACGTGGCCAGCCGCTTTGCAGGCCGCTCCGTTGCCTGCGTGGACCGCACGGTGAGCAAGCAGGGTTCTGTGGGCAGGGGCATCTCTGCCCCCTTCCCACTCCCAGTGCCCCTTCACTGGAGTCCTGGGGCCTGCTCCCTTTGCCCGTCCCATCCCCTGCTTGGCCAAGGGTGCTCCCCAGCTGCCCCTGGACTGTCAGAGCTAGCAACAGCCCCAGCTCTAGAGACTGTGGATGCCTGTCCACACGGTTGCCACCAGCTGATAAACGTGCCTGTCGAGGTGATTTATGTTCCTGTCACCTGCTCTTTCTTCGTCCTCCTCCTCCAGCGGTTTGTTTCCAAATGATTATCGCTAAATCAGGGTGCAGCTACTGCACGGGACAAAGGGGGCGGTGGAAACTGGGAGGACCCGGCACGCCGGGGATGCTGGGAGGGGGGATAATGTGTCCCATGCCAGCTCTGTGACCAGAGAGCTCCTGGAGGCAATGGGGCACATCCCTACTCCTGGCATGCTTTTTGCTGTGGGCTTTGCAGAGCTCTCTCTCAGCACACAGTAGCAGTGCCCGCTCCCACGGAGCAATGAGAGCATTCACAGCAGGCATCCTGTGGTCCCCGTGGAGATGAGCCGCGGGTGGGTGGGTGCTGAGGCGGTGCTGCCGGCTGCAGGGCTCCGGCAGGTACTCCATCTACATCGCCAACTATGCCAGCGGCAACGTGGGCCCCCATGCCCTGATTGAGATGGATGTGGCTGCCAGTGACCCTGCCCGCGGTGTCGTGGTGCTGGTGGACGTGGCCGCCCAGGCTGGCGTCAGCAAGTACACAGGTACACCCGGCTGCCGTGGCCCTGCGGAGGGCACGGGGCGCTGCAGGGCACGGCCAACGGGGGAACTCGCTGAGGCAGGGCAGTGCAGCCCGAGGTCCGTGCCACGCGTTGGGCTGCCTGACTGCCCCATCTAGTGGCAGCCCCACGGCCCGTGAAAGGCGCCAGGACCATGGATGCGCGCCTGGCAGGACCCTTGTGCCCAGCATCACCGGGGCTAGTCCCTCCCGAGCTCACAGCATCATAGGGCAAGCAGCGGGGTTTGGGAACGTAGGCGTCGGGAGGAACAAGCCCGCCTGCGCCCCATGCTGCCCCACCACCGTGGGGACTGCTGCGTGCCCCAGCGGTAAATTGTCAGTAATTAGGAGTGTTGTCACCATGGCGATGGCAGTGATTAGGGTTGGGAGTGACACAAGCGGCTGCCAGGCCCAATTAGCTCCTGATGAGAGGGATTGGAGGTGGGCAAGAATGGGACACTGCGGGAGGAGTGGAGGGGACGCGTGATGGGGGGGGTTGGTTCCACCGTGTGGGCAACACTGAGGGAACGTGGGGAGCACAAACTCCCGTGGGGCAGCTGTCCCCTCACCCCGGGCTACTGTCCCCAGGCGGCCGTGGGGTGGCCGTGGGCCCCATCCTGAGTGACAGTGCCTCTGACATATTCTGCGGTAATGAGAACAGCCCAAATTTCCTCTTCCACAACCGGGGGGACGGGACGTACAGGGACGTGGCGGCTGCTGTGGGTGAGTAGGGGAAGCTGGGGGGAACACAGAGACTCTGGGGACTTCAGGGCAGGGGTGGCTCTGCCTGCACTGGATGAGGGCGGTGGGGGGACAGCCCTGGGGACCCAGAGCCCCACTGACCACAGTGGCTGAGATGCATCGGGGCATCCATCAGCGCAGCAGGGATGTAACCCTGCGTGTGGAGAACCTGTCTGGGGACGGTGGAGCACATCCTGGGAGCTGTGCTGGGGACGAGGAGGCAGGGAGGGGTTCCCGTCTCCCCCTGTCCCCTTGCGGTTCCCCAGGGCTGGATGACCCCTACCAGCACGGACGCGGTGTGGCGCTGGCTGACTTCAACCGGGACGGCCGAGTGGACATCGTCTATGGCAACTGGAACGGGCCGCACCGCCTCTACCTGCAGAGCGGAGCTCCCGGGCGCGTCCGATTCCGGGTGAGGGCCGGGAGCCCCCGCACTGGGGCTCTGCCACCTCGGCCAGCGGGGCTGCCTTCGCTCTGAATTCCCTTTGAGCCCCACCTGACAGCGAGGAGGGGACCCGAGGCATCAAAGCAGGACCCAGGTGTCGTGCTTCCTGTGCCTATTGTCGGGCCGTGTCCATGCAGGACATCGCCACCCCCAAGTTCTCCATGCCGTCCCCCGTCCGCACCGTCATCGCAGCCGACTTCGACAACGATCAGGAGCTGGAGGTTTTCTTCAACAACATCGCTTACCGCGGCTCCTCCGCCAACCGCCTGTTCCGGTAGGAGCCGGCGGGGCCGGGCAGCCTGCACCCTGCACCCTGCGCTGGGAGCCGAGCAGCCCGAGCAGCACAGCCAGGCTCACAGGGCTCCTCTCCAGCAGTGCCACGGCTCGGGCTCGGCTCATAAAAGGCGTCGTGACTGAGCCCTTCCTGGCATCATTACCAGCCACTGTGATCGTGCCTGCAGCAGCCCCTGGGGTCCCCAGCACCGCTGATTAGCAGCTGTGTGGAAGCTTCTTCATGGCTCCTGTTAATTGTGGGGGTCAAGTCTTATTACTTCTGTGTAGCACCTCCTTGCCTCGTGTGTAGGGTGATGGGAACTGATTGTCTACGCAATGTTTGCACCCATGGGTGGGTAGAGGGCAAGGGTTTTGTAAGGAGCCCTTTGGAGATATCTCCAGGTTCCAGAGGGATGCAACAGACACTGTTGCTACTCTGCAGTTCAGATCCAGAAGCTCTCATGAAACTTCTGTTGCCTCTGCAAGGAGTGGGGACGTGCCAACAGGCAGGGGACAGTCACATCCTCCGTCCACACCCTATAGCCACCAAGACTGTCACCCCTACCATGATTCTTCAGGAGGGGACAGACATGTCCAGGAAGGTTCTGAGGACTGCAGGAGCTGGCATTCATACCCTGTGTGTGTCCTTGGCAGGCTCATCCGCAGAGAACACTCAGACCCCATTGTGGAAGAGCTGAATCCAGGGGATGCACTGGAGCCAGAGGGACGGGGCACAGGTAGGTCCACCTTGCTCTGGCACAGCACTGCTTGGCACCTTCTTTGCCTGAGCATGCCACATGCCTGGCTGAGTTATCTGCCTGCTCCCCACCAGCAGGCTGGAGCTCCTGTCACCCAGGAATGGCCCCATGCTTTCTCCCTCCACCCATACGCAGCCAATAGTGCCATCTCCAGTACCCCAGAGACACTCTTGATGTGCCCCTTCCTGGGTGTCCACTGCTCAAAGCCAGCCTCTGCATTTGGGAAGAGGTCAGGCAACTCCCTATGACCCACAGCCATCCAGGCACTGCCTGTCCCCTCCACTGCCCAGGGTGCCAATGCACCTGATTACAGGGTGCCGGCCACACTCCTGCACTGATGTCACCCCATCTTCCTTTCTGTCCCTGCGTGGCTGGGAGTGCTCCCATTGCCAGTGGAAGGCCACAACAGCAGCAAGGTCTAGTGCTGGTGAACATGGGGCCAGGCCTCAGACACAGCATGATTCTGTCCTTGCAGGAGGTGCAGTGACAGATTTTGATGGCGATGGGATGCTGGACCTCATCCTATCCCATGGCGAGTCCATGGCACAGCCACTCTCCATCTTCAAGGGCACCCAGGTGAGTCAAGCAGGGACTCCTCGTGTTGTACCCATCCCTTCCATCCCTCCCAGCTCAATCTCTCTGCTCTGCCTCCCTTTGCAGGGCACCAACAACAACTGGCTGCGCGTCATCCCCCGCACGCGCTTCGGGGCGTTTGCGCGGGGGGCCAAGGTGGTGCTGTTCACGCGGCGCAGCGGGGCCCACCTGCGCATCATCGACGGCGGCTCCGGGTACCTCTGCGAGATGGAGCCCGTGGCACACTTTGGACTGGGTGAGCTAGGGGGTCAGGGGGCTGCCTCCATCCCCAGCTCCCCTGGCACTCCCCAGGGCAGGGGCCATGTCTGCTGCCCCAGTGTCCTGCTGCGCAGTAATCGTCCCTGCCTGTCACCCTAGGTATGCTGGGCTCCGTGTAAGGCTGGGGGCAGGCTGCCCAGCTGCTGCAGCTGTGCTGCAAGGGGCAGCTGCTCCCTTCCCCATGCCCTGCCTCCTGCTTTGCCCAGGCAGTAGGGCTTTCCCTTCCCTTTAGCTCTCCCCTGCTGCAGCCAAGCCTTCAGGGGTGTCTCTGCCCACTGCAAGGTCATCCCATGTACACCCCTCAGAGTACATCCGTGTGTGTGGGCTGTCAGCATGAGCACCTGGAGCTGGGCTCAGGGAGCAAGGGAGGACTTTGCCCCTCCATCCCTACCACCCCGCTGGCCTCCTTTCAGCCCCTGCCCACCCTGGAGACCCTCCCTTTGATGGGCTGCCCGCCTGCAGGGCGTGACGAAGCCAGCAGCCTGGAGGTGACTTGGCCAGATGGCCGCGTGGTGTCACGAGCTGTGGCGAGCAGTGAGACCAACTCTGTCCTGGAGATCCCCTACCCTCTGGATGTGGAGGAGCCACTCATGCCTGCCCCTCTGGAGGTGAGGGCCAGGTGTGGGTGTAGGGTGTGGCACTTTGGGGACAGAAACAAGGGGCTGGGCTCTGCTGGCTCAGTGGCTGCCCAGGAGTGATTGTTCCCCATCCCAGTGGTCTCTGCTTCTTCCCAAATGCAGTGCGGGCAGGGATTCTCCCAGCACGAGAATGGACGCTGTGTAGGTGAGTGGCTGCTGGAGCACAGGTGTGCCTGTACCCAGGATGCTGTAGCATAGCCCCATGAGGGACACTCTGAGACTTGGGAGGTGGCTGCCTGCCACATGGCTCCGTGCCAGGTACAGCTGCCTGCCTGGCACATGGCCTGGGAATGGGACACCTGTACAGCTCCAGAGGAGCACCATGGTGTCCCAGAGAACAGCAAGAGCAATGTGCTAGGGCAGGAGGCATGGCTGGCATGTGGCAGGCTGTGTGCTGCAGCCATGAGCAATGGGAGGGGCAGCAGAGGTGCAGCAGGGTGGCTGTGGCCATGCTGTGAGCCTCCTGGGCAGAGATATGGCTTATGCATGGCTGCCACTGGGGTGACTATCCAGTGTACCGGGGGAACTGGAGGGGCTGGCAGCCCCAAGCTCTCTGCCCAGACATCTCACACTGAGGACCCTCTTGCAGACACAAATGAGTGCACTGAGTTCCCCTTCATCTGTCCCCGGGACAAGCCTCTCTGCATCAACACCTATGGCGGGTACCGCTGTCGCAGCAACAAGCGCTGCAGCCGGGGCTTTGAGCCAAATGAGGATGGCACAGCTTGCGTGGGTGAGTGATAGCTGGGACACCCCGACCCCATGCCAGCTGGCATCAGCCCCAAAGCACCACCTTGGGATGCTGTTGCACCCCTGACAAAGGCCAGGCCGCAGCCTGCAACCTGTCGGACGGCAGCCCAGCCACCTCCACCCTGGTTCTCTGTCTATGCCTCCCACTGAGCTGCCACTGACTCCCTTTCTCTTTCTCTTTTTCTTGCTTGTTCCTTCTCTCCTTCTCTGTGCAGCTCAAGTGGCCTTTTTTGGGGGCTATCCCTCTGCTGGGAGCTGGCTGGGGCTCCCCCACAGTGCCCTCCTCCCTCAAGTCCTCGGACTCTGCCTTTGTCTCTATGCACTTTAAGCCCTGCCCATAACACGCCAGAGCAGCCTTGGTGGAAGGATGGGCTGGCCTCTGCCTGTCTCTCTTTTTCTGTCCTCGTCGAACCACCCTGGAAGTGCCGGCTGGGACATAGTGGGGTGACCTGCAGTGGGACGGGCACAGACCTGGCTGTCCTGTGCCATCTCTGGGAAAGCAGCCCTGGGGCAGCCTGGCAGTGCCCCTTCCCCCGCCCACGCCCCTGCCCCAGTGCTGTTCCTGCCATGCTGGTACCTTGCTCCGTCGCCTCGACACCGTACCATGTGCCTGCTGGTTTGGCCTGCGACTGTGTGCTTCGCCTGCCCCCTCCTCAGTGACAGGAACCACCTCCCCAGCCCTGGCAGAGGAGGCTCTTCCCAGCCCTGCAGGGGCAGGACCCTCCTGGTCTGGTTTTTAAAGTATTGACCTTACTGTTTGGAGTCTGACCCTGCTTAGTCCCAACAGTCTTCCAGCCCCTCTCCCAGAGATCCCCCAATAAACTATATCCCATCTATTAACCTGGTCTGCTGAGCTCTGCAGGGCTGGGCTGTGCTTGTGCTTCTGCCCACCCTGGGACCTGGCTGGAGAGTGGTGGTGCCCCTGGCCCAGTGCTGCACTGGACTATAGCAAAATGTGCAGCTCTGAAGGGACTGGGGTGCAGCAAGCAGCCCTGCCTGCACCTCAACAACGGGGCTGGGCTGCTTTTCCCCCGTACATGCTATAACTCCACACTGCTCTCTCTATCCCCACCAGACATCGACGAGTGTGCTCAGGGCTTGCACAACTGCAGCCAGCTGTGCATCAACAGCCCTGGGGCACACAGCTGCCTCTGCCACCCAGGCTTCCGTCCCCTCGATCCGGCTGCCAGCCGGTGCCTGGGTGAGTATCTGCAGTGCCCCCCCGCTGCTGCCTGCTGCTGCCCTGGTGGCAGAGATGATTGGGTGCCCAGTTGTGCTCACAGCCCTACTGCTGGGGGGCAGAATGGACAGACTGTGGCTGTGCAGGAGCTGGTAGAGTAAGGACATCTGCCACCCAGCAGCCTTGGCACCAAGCAGTGGCAGGATCACCTGCCTTTGTGTCCCACATTCACCCAGCCCTGGAGCTGTCCCCCTCATGCCTCCTCCATCCCTTGCGCTGCCCATGCCACACACTCCCTGTAACTTTGGCACAGCTCTGACCTTTTCTCCTTCTTTCACAGACATAGATGAGTGCCAGGCACAGCCTGGTCCCTGTGACCATATCTGCCACAACAGCTATGGCTCCTTCCACTGCCACTGTCACCATGGCTTCTCCCTGGGTGCTGGTGGACGCTGTTGGCACAATTAGCCTGCTCTGGCGCAGCCAGGTGTTCCCTGCTACCCCCCAGCACTGTGCTGGTTGCACCCAGTGCCAACAGAATAAACCCTTTCCTGCTCTGTATTCCTTGTGTGTCCCTGTCCCAGGGCCACATGCCTGCTACCTGTCCCCCTACTCCCTTAGACTGCCCCCTCCTCTCCATCCCCTCCCTCCCCCCATGCTCACCCTTGTGGGGCTCTGTGCAACCCAGTGTGAAAAGAGATACCCAGCCTGATTCTGTGCCCCCACAGGGTTGTCCTGCTCACCTCCCCAACACAAGAAGATGCAGGGTAGGCAGTGGGGGAAGAAGCGTGGGGTTTATTGAGGAAGGTCTCCATGCAGGGGTGGGGGGGCTCCAGCAGGAACGTTGAGGCCAGGGCCACCCCACACACACATCATGACTGAGCCAAAAGAAGTCCCACAGGGCAGGGTCCTCCCTCCAGGCTCCCAGGAGAGAAAGGCCAGCTTGGCTCAGCCCTGCTCCCAGATCGGAATTCTCCTTGGGGTGCTGGATGTCACATGGACCCTTCTATTTCCTGCTATCTGACCCCTGGACCATGAACGTCCACACCTTGCTGCCAGGCTCAGGTGCCCCTCAAGGTCCCTCTGACAGACCAGGCTGAGAATTGGGGCACTGGTGGCAGATGCATGCAGGACACGTGGGCAGGAGAGGACTCAGCAGTGTGAGAGGAAGGGTCCTTATGGAGCTGCCCCACTGGGCACCCTCCCTGCATTAGGGCAGGTCATGGGGCAGAGTAGGCAGGGGCTGCTGGGAGCTGGATACAGGCAAACTCTGCTAGGACTGGGCAGGGACCCTGCCTCACCCATGTCACAGCTCAGCCTCGACTGTGCCGGGCCATGAATGAGTCCAGGGCACATGGCACAGGGCATCACCATGCCCAGCACTGCAGCTCCCTGGCCTGGACACTGGGCTGGAGAGATGCGTGGGTCCAGCTGGGGATGGCAGCAGGGCATGCAGGGAGCAGAAGCAAGTGCCCAGTGTCCGGGCAGTGAAGGTTGCTGCTGGAGAGGATGTAGTGCCAGATGGGGGAAGGGGCCAGGAGAGCAGCAATGGGGCAGTGGGTGGCACAGAGCTGGGGTGAACGCACGGCCCATCATGCAGAAGAAGCGGCACCAGTGCTCTGCCAGGCCCCCTGAACGGTGCACGAGCAGCAGCTGAGCCACACCACAGCACCAAGGGCAGGCTGTCCCCAGGAGGGGGTGCAGCAAGAGCTGTCAGTGCCTGTGAGTGTGGGGTTGTGCGTCCCCTGCTTAGCACTGCCTGAGGCTTTGCCAGTCCCAGCGCTCCCAGAGCCTGGCAACAGGGACACTGCCAGCTGGGACTGCCCCTAGCAGGGCAAGCTCCTTTTGCTTGTGGCAGGGGCGGCAGCACCCAGCACATGGAGGGCTGTAGGAGCCCCTTGGCAACAGTTCGGCTCAGTGGGAAGCACCTGGGATGCCCCAGCAGCAGTCCCTGCCCACAGTGGGTCCGAGCAGGGGCAGACCCACTGCGGGGGACAAAGAGCAGATGGGGGTGGGCAGCCCCACCCGGTAGCCCCGGCCTCCCCCTGCTGCTCTCGCTGGGCTCAGAAGCGGGTGCTCTGGTAGTGCAGCCTGCGGAGCTCGGAGAGGCCACTGTCCCGGCAGTACGAGTCCCTGCAGGGACTCCCGGCCAGTCACCGGCCCCCTGCCCCGCCTCCACCGCCCCCGCTGCTGCTGCTGGAGCTGCCGCTGCTGGAGCTGCCGCTGCTGCACCGGTCCTCGTAGATGGAGATCTCGATCTGGACCCTGCTAAGGAACACCGGTGAGATGTGCCAGCCCAATCACCCAGAACCCATGCCCAGTCTCCCCTCACCCTTGCCATGCCCCAAGCATCCCGCTGCCCAAAGGATACGACCCTCATGCCACGTTCCAGGGGGTCAGTGAGCAGCAGCCCCCGTGGCGCATAGATCTTCTCATTCTGGTCCTGGATGTACTTGGAGATCTTCTTCAGGACCTGTCAGCACAGGGAGGGACACTCAGGGCCTGCCAGATTTGCTGTCTACTCTGGCCTCAGTCCCATGTTCCCTGTGACACTCCCGAGCCATCCCTGTGCCCACTGGCAGCTGTGCCCATCCCTGAACCCTCCCCTGCACCTCAGCACCTTCTCATAATGTGTCTCCATGCAGAGAAAGATGAAATAGGCAGTGGCACAGGCCAGGCACCCCTCGAGGTATGAGCTGCCCCCAATCTTCTCCGCCTCAGCGTAGAAGCCATTTAGGGTTTTCACAGTTTCCTCAAAAAGTTGCCGCTCAATCTAGGACAGAAACCAGGATGAAGAGGAGTCTGGCCAGGGACTGACTCCCTGCACCACCTTGTCCCCTTTCCTGGGGGGACTTGGAGAACACTTAACCCTCTCCTCCCTGCCCAGCTGATGCCTCAGCTTGCAGGCCCCTGCCCACTTCCCACCCATACCAAGACCTGCTGCACCTGCAGCCTTCACCAGAGCCTCCCAGCCCCCAGGAGCACCAAAGGCCTTGCCCACCAGCCAAGCCAGCTGTGATTGCATGCACCCAGTAGCACTGGCTGGCCCAGGGCCATACAACACCCCATAAGTCCCCACACCTTTAGACTCTTCTTCCCTCTGAGTCCCCATAGGGCACCCCCCCACCCTGACAACCTCTCAGACTCCCTACCCGGCTCTCCAGCTCAGGGGGAAACTTTGTCTGGAACTGGCACGTGGTCCCGTCACTGTAATCCCGCTGCACAAAGACCTTGGTGGCCAGGGACGCGCTGCGCCGCAGCTCCTGTAGGCTGTGCACCTGAGGGCAGAGGGTGAGACGGGGCCTGCAGCCAGGGGTGCTGGGCATCCTTGCTGGAGGCCTGGAGGCCTGGGGAGCAGCGCCATTCCCCAGTGTGAGGGGCTGCAGGGAGCCCCTGGCACAGGCTGTGTCACGCCATGAGTACAGCCTGGCGCTGGAGGTGCAAGGCGGGGAGTGAGGGGAGGATGGCAGCAAGGGGAGGATGCTGTGGCAGCCCCTGCTCCACAGGAAGGAGGGTGACTGTGAGTGCTCCCACCTCAGGCTGGTGTCTGGTCTCAGCCCCAGTGGTTCCTGCACGCATGTGTTGCCAGCGGGCCATGGCCCGGGGAGGGGACAGCCCCCCGGCCCCAGCAGTGCCCCAGAACACAGCCAACCCAACAGCTCCCAGGCTCCCGAGCAGGAGCAGAGACTGGGCAGCGAGGCTGCAGCAGTGGCCCAGCGGGTGGGCAGGCTGCAGTGGGGCGTCTTCATGAAAAGGACCGGCAGCCCCGGCAGCAGGTGCTAAGCCCTGACTCCCCACAGGGTGTGAGAGCCCGTGCCAGCCCCCGAGCTGCAGCCTGTGGGGCAGCTTTGGTGGCCAGAGAAGGGGATGGAGGCACCAGGTTGTGCCAAGGCCCGTCCCCGTGCTTCCTCTGGGTTCTATGGGGCTACTGCCTGCTCCGTTCCCCACAGACCGTCTGAGGCCGTCCCGCGTCCGACCCACGGCATGTGGGAGGAGAGCTCCCCGTCCCACAGCCCAACTCGGACCCGCTCCAGCCTTCAAAGGCGGCCTGCAGCCACCCTGCACCCCACAGCCCTTCAGGCCCCTCACCGGCCTTTCCGCGCCCACGGAGCCCTCTCTGCCCCACACCGCTGTCCCCACGGACCCCCGCCCCGCGCTGTCCCCCCGCAGCAGCGCACCCCACGCGGACCGAGCCCCGTCGGTGCCGCTCCCCGGCAGCGCAGGGCGGCGGACACCGCGGGCCGGGGAGCTCCGCCGCAGTCCGGCCCGGGGGCGCCGCCGCCGGGGCGCCCCCGCCGCGCCGCCCGCACCCACCTCCGTGGCCATGGCGCGGCGGGCGCCGGGCCGGGCTGTGCCGTGCCGCGCCGCGGGGACCGCACCGCACTGGCGCCGTCTCCGGAGCCGTGCGGAGCCGCGCGGGGCCGGGCGCTGTCCGCGGTGCTGCCGCGCCGAGGGGCGGAGGCGGGCCCGGCCGCCCCGTGTGCGCAGCCGCCCGGTCCGCCGCGGCCCGCCCCGAGGCACCGGGGATGGGCGCCTGCCGCCGCCGGCGCGGAGCCCCTGCGGACGGCGGCACCGAGTGCCCCGGGGCTGGCTCCGGAGTGGGGCTGCGAGGGAGGGCGGCTGCTGTGCGTCCCGGGGGTCCGGCAGGGCGAGTGCCGCAGCCCGGTATCTGCGAGATGCGGCCGGGGGTCCCTGGGGGAAGCCTGGCTGCCGAGGGGGCTGTCGGAGGTAACAGAGGATGTGAGCGATCGTGAGAATGGCCCGGCAGGGATTTGGGGGGTCCACCGTGGGACTGGCAGAGCGCCGTGCCAAGGGACCTCATCTGAAGCTGTTTGTTTGCTAAGGAGTTGCAGCTGGTGCTGTGATCAGAGCGCGGGCAGACATCAAAGAGCAGAGCTAACGAACTCCCCGTTATCTCTGCCCATTGACAGCTCAATTAGAGCCGGAGAAATGCCAAACGGGGGGAACAGAGGCTCTCCCGGGAGGCGAAGCAGGGGGGCTCCTGGCTGGGCTGCAGTGGGGCGAGGGATGCAGTAGCTGGGCACAGGGCCCTCAGCAGGCAGGAGAGCTGCCAGCCTGCCTCGACACCTGGGCCGTGCTGGGGGCAGCGCCGGGCCCTGCGGAACATCTGCTCTGGCACAGAACATGGCTAACACAGATAGCACAGCTAACTCACAGCTAACTCACAGCTAACACACAGCTTACACAGCTAATACACACCTTACACACAGCTTACACACAGCTAACACAGCTGACACAGAGCTTACACAGAGCTTACACAGCCAACACACAGCTAACACAGCTAACACACACAGCTAACACACACAGCTAACACACACAGCTAACACACAGAACACGCAGCTTACACACAGCTAACAGATAACACACCGCTAACACAGCTAACACAGCAAATGTGCCATAGCCAGCTGCCTGCAGCACAGGGGTAGCTCTGTCTGACTCCTGCTCCTTGCTCTGAGCACCAGCCCAGGCTTTGGGCAG